GTCCCCTCCCCCCAGCCCGGGCGGGGGCGCGCGAGAAGCGGTGACGTCAAGGGGCGCGCGGTGGCAGCACCTCCCCGCGCGCTAGTTAAAAAGAAGAAGAAAAGAGGGAACGAAACATGAGAGGCTGTGTGAGAAGCTGCAGCCGCGGGCAGAGGAGACCTCAGCATCATCTAGAGCCCAGCGCCGGCCCTGCCTTCGCCTGCCCCGTCGCCGCCGGGTCTGTTCCTGCTACTGTCTCACCTAAACAGCTCCCGTTACACGGACAAGTGAACCTCTGTGGCCGTCTTCTCCTCCTCTTCCTCCTCCTCTCCCAACTCCTTCTCCTCCTCCCGCTTCCCAGCCGCAGCAAAAAGCCCCTAACCCAACTGGCACTGGCACAGCTACGAACGGTGTCATCCGCACACCTTTCTCTCGCCTCTCGGGCTCCCCTAAGGCACTGGACCCATCTCCTCGACTTTTATTTTTCGCAAAGTTGCATCGCTCTACAAATTTTCTCCCCCGCCACCTTCCTGCCTCTCGAGTGTCCCGCCGCTCCGCAGCCTCCTCCTGGAGCTGCGCCCTAGTGCCCCTGCTGGGCAGTGGCGTTCCCCCTCGTCCGCGCGCGCCCAGCCCCGGCCGCTCCGGGCAGACGATGCTGAAGATGCTCTCATTTAAGCTGCTGCTGCTGGCCATGGCTCTGGGCTTCTTTGAAGGAGATGCTAAGTTTGGGGAAAGAAGTGAAGGGAGTGGAGCGAGGAGGAGAAGGTGCCTGAATGGGAATCCTCCGAAGCGCCTGAAAAGGAGAGATAGGCGGATGATGTCCCAGCTGGAGCTGCTGAGTGGGGAGGAGATGCTGTGCGGTGGCTTCTACCCTCGTCTGTCTTGCTGCCTGCGGAGTGACAGCCCGGGGCTGGGGCGCCTGGATTCCAAGGTAGGCACGCACCCTCCTCACCCGCGCGAGATTGGCATACTGGCTGGGTGGGGTTCTCTGCGGCTCCGGCAGTGCTGGTGGCTGTAAGAAGGGCGAAACTTGTTTGGGCAGTTCTTTTTGATAACTTTTCTAAAGCGCTAGCGTGATTCCGTTGTGTGTTCCTCCGGGGTGCACAGATACCTCTCCCGCCCCCAAGAGTCCGCGGTCGGGATGCTGTGCAAAACTGCCTGTCTCAGAAAAGAGAAGCTTCTGTGGTACCCGCATTCGGGGCTGGGTAAATATTTTAAAAGAATCGCGATTAACAGTATGTTTGGATCGAATCGGTCATTGGCTGCGGTGAAACTGTAAATTAAGGTGGCTGCGGTTTCCGGTTTATTTTTCTAGGGTAGAAAGATTTTGCAGCTTTTCTCCACGTGCTCGGTTAGGGAGAGGGCTGAATCGTAAAGGATGTTGAAGCATGGTTGGTTTATGATCCCCAGCCCCGTCAGAGGGGGGTTGTCTAACGTTACAATCGTGAAACAGCGAAAAGGGAACTCCTGGTACTCCAGTTGGGAACCTAAAAAAACTGGCGAAAGACTTTGCTAGGGCGTATTTATCACATAAAACGGAGATGGTTCTCTGGCTCCGTTTGTAATGTTTTGTAATATTATAAATTCAGGCTTTCAATGGTATTTAGTTGTCTAGGAAGATCTCTAGAAACTTGTTTCAGGAGTAAGGGCATTTTCATTTACCCTGTGTTAGTAAGTTTAAACAAATACGGAAATAGCGTTGGGTGAGTGAAAAGAT